TATTCTATTCTATTCTATTCTATTCTATTCTATTCTATTCTATTCTATTCTATTCTATTCTATTCTATTCTATGCAATGCTATATAGTACTTTACAAAATATAAAATTCTCTTTGGGAAAGTGAGATTGGTGGATATGAGTATTGAGCTTTATAAAGACATTGTATGATTGTTGATGTCTGTAATGGGCAAAAGGAAAATAGAGCATGCAATGAAAATTCAACTTTGATTGATGTCACACAAAGGGATCTCAAACAGGCCATGGTGGAACTGAGAAGACGGTGACTGATTCCCTTGTCAAAAGCACCAAGAAAAAGAAGCTAGACAGCCCCCGATTAGGACATAGTACATTTAGCAAACTGTTTAGACATAAGGTTGGTATGGTAACCCGAAAATCTAGAACCCTGAATAACAACAGATAACTTTTAAATCTGCTTATCCTGAATGCAAGCATGCAGCAGCTAGACTTACTGAAAAGCAAAGCTTGAGTTGGACATTGTTTAGAATTGTTGCTGACTTTGACAAAGATATAATTTGGCAGCAGGGAAGTATCATGATAATCCTGAACATTTACCTCTCCATTAATATCTGTGAATTCAGGGTTCAGTGGAAGGAAGTTCCCCCTGACTGCATATTAGTTGCTATTTTTTGTGTCTTGTTATCAAGTCTTTCTCACTAACAAAACCTGTGTCACCCTAACCAGAACTTAGTGCAATTCCATACTGCCATCAGTTTCACTCCACAAAGCAATTTGAAGCTGAACTGTGTGACTATCTTTCCTTCTCTTTGAAATGTTGAAAACAAAGCATGAAATTCAGTGCCCTGCTCCCAATCTACTGTCAATCATGCAATAACTGCCCCCCCTTTTCACCCATCATTACAGAGGAGGGAGGGAGGAAGATAGGAAAAAAGGAAGGAAGGAAGGAATGCTCAAGTACCTTTGTTTTTCAATCTTCTTATTCCTTGGATTGAAGAAAAGGAAACTGAATAAATTCCTTCAATATGAAAAATTTATTACGTCCAGTTAATTCAAGCTCCATATAAAAGGAGCTATGCTAATCATAGAACAAGAGCTGATTTTAGGAAATTTGCCCTATTTAATGTGTTGTAAGCACAATTCCTTCAATTCCAGCATCATAATGGCACCAGGCTATTTATAAGATGAAAACATGATGGATTGTCTTGGCACAGATTCTTATTTCCTGGGAAATAAGTTTTCCATGCTCAGCACTGCTGAGTTTCTCTGGACTCAAAAGCAAGCCCAGTTGGGGCTGTTTGGTCCTTGGATGGGACACCATCACAAAAACCAGGATAACAAAACCCTGCGCATGTAAAACATGTTCTTGGGAGGAAAAAGTTTTCTATGGTTGCCAAGAGGAGTTGCAAAACCAACAAATTCCTATTAGCTTCACAAGACAATATAAAGTAGTTACCATGAGGCTATCTCTACTCAATGGTGTCCTCAACTAATCTTTACAAAGTACCTGAATTGATGCATTCTCTTAATCAAAAGACATTGCATAATCCCAAAATAATGCATACAGATTTGCTTCAGATACTCTCACCTCTTCCTAAGATTTTTTTTCCAGGATTACATCATAAAACTAAATTGAACCCGAAAGCAGTGACATTGCCTAATATCAAATACTAATATTGATATAAGTGTTTCCTTTCAATTGCTGATATGGTGAAATCATTGTAAGTTCAGATCGCACAGATTCAGAAGAACATCAAAACAAAGGCTTAACTGGCTGAGCATAATATCCCATTCAAGATCTCTAGCTGGTCATGAGAATCATACTGACTCTGGAATTGGAGATATTTAACCATCAGGAGGACAAGACACGGATTGCCGTATTGTTCACAGATTCCTCCCTTTTGAAGCTTTCCTATTTGACATTTATCACTCCTCTTTGTGATATCAAATTGCAAAGCTTAACTGTGCTATCCTATATCCCAATTAAACCCATCTGGATATCAGCTACCAAAATTCTCAGCAGTAACCTGTCTAAGCTGGAATTCTGGAGTTGAATTCAATCAGGACTGAAGAAGCTTCTTGGATGAGAAGTGAAACGTCTTCAAAGAAAAACAAGAAAGTCCAGTTGCCTCTTGGGAAAAAAAAACACCTTTGGGACACCCATGACCTGGATGACTGAGGATGTCCATAAATGGTTCTGGAGAGATTGAAGGACATTCATATTTGCAGGCCGCCCATATTGGGAAAAGGTTCATTATATGAAGTCCTTTCAGTTTTCTGACTTGACTTTCCAATCCTTCAGCTTAACGGCTGCATAAGATTACAGAAGAAAAACTCCTTAGGAACTTTCTCCACCCATCATTCTGAGATGATTTTAGTTTAGCTACATCATGTTTTCAGTTTTATGCTCCAGTTCGTCCCCTGTGACATTTCAGGATACACAGAATGTCAGAGAAATGCTGAAAATATACCCAGCAAAATCTTCTTTATAATGGCTTCACCATGTCAAACCCTGTGCAGTGCCTGGATCCCTCCATCCTTAAATAACATTACAGCCACTTCGATTCTTAGAGAATGAAAATGCCCACATGATTTCTCTCTGTGTTTGTGTATTTTACATTCTTTTAGGCAAAAAAAGATGTTCAACAGACAGCAAATACCAAGGTCAGTAATAATACAGACAATTCCGAATTTTCCACTTGTGTACAGTATTTCTACAGTTTTCGATCGGCCATATTGATGTCTACATTATTTTCATAACCTATCTCATGTAATCCTCTAATTGATAAAGATGAATGTGTGGGGGTGCTGGAATGAAAGATGCCAGTATACCATGTTTTTCTGAGCTTCTTTTGTCTTCTCCTGTAGCCAAATGTGTTTTTCCGTTGATGGTCTTTGAAGTTCATCTTCTCTGGAACAATTTTTTAATTTACTTTGTTTCTAGCCAACTGAAGAGCCTGTCCCTGTTGTCCCTGTTACAAAACCGGAAACAAGTGTGCCTCCAACTCAGGAAAGTCCAGCAGTGAAGCCAATTGTGAAACCTCCAGAAGTTCCAGTACCACCACCAGCCCCAACAGTTGTGGTTGTTACCAATGAAGCTCCCAAGGAGATAACCAAGGAAAGATCTTCTTCTACTCCCACACCCCTAAGTAAATTCTTTTGGAAAAAGGTATGTTTGGATTCTAGAGTCACTCACTTGGAAGTTTCAATTATTATTGGTAGTGCATTTATTTGCAACCATAGGTTTTTGGAAAAACCTGTATAAAATTACAACAATCTATATCAATTCAATTCAATCAACCCCACCCCCACCCCTAAAATTAACAGTACTGTCAACATCTACATCTGTATCTTTTTTGTAGCCACTACAAACACAACTCATTTTGGTGTAGGTTCATCTACCTCAGTCAGCAGAAAATAGCTTTTCTCTTCTACAATATGCTGAACTGATTTAGTTGAGTTAACAAAGGCAGAATAAATGTAACTTTGGATTTCTGATATAATCTACAATGTAATAAGTAATGGATTGGAGATCTTCCACCTATAAATGATCACAAATATATAAACTGTGTGCAATTGGTAATCCCTTATACAGAATATGTCAACCAAATAGGCTGTTGGCATTATCTGAAAACAAAGTTCTGTGATAGAGTTTGTAAATAAGATGATATAAGAAAAATTAAATTGAGTAGTAGTAGTAGTAGTAGTAGTAGTAGTAGTAGTTGTATTCCTATTTAATTTCTCAACTGATGTTTGGTTAGTTTCCATGACTTGCTGGGAATATTTTTTTCCCCACTAGTTTTCTTAAACGAAGATGCATTTTCAAGAAAGATAATACATGTTTTTTATGCAATTCCAGCCAGGTAGCCATCATGTTTCCAGGAGTTACCTAAGCAGGTTGCTCATGTATTATTCCCACTGTGGTTCAGTGTGATGGCAGATTGGATAATGGGGAAACACTGGGTTTGACATAAATTCAGTGTAGCTTGGAGGAGTTGTATCACAAATGCAACACACCCTATTTGCTATTGTTCTCTTAGAGCAGAGGTTCCCAACCGGGGATGCAAGATGATATTCCGGGGGGTGCAAAAACTTGATTTTAGAAATTTCAGAATTATAGTGTATATGTATAATTATATGCTTATAATTATTTATTTTTAGGGGGTGCAAAATTATATCAGAAACGCTCTAGGTTTGCGAGTATAGAAAAGGTTGGGAACCCCTGTCTTAATCCTTATCAACTAATCAATCAGAATAGAGCTGGAAGGGACCTTGTAGTCTTCTACTCCAGTCCCCTGCTCAAGCAGGAGATCCTATCAGAAATGAAGTCACAGAGATCTCTGAGAACAGTCCTGGTCATCTCCTTGCATGATTGATGGAAAAATGAGAACATCTAACGAAGATGCAATCAGCAGCCACATCTAAGAATAAAGTCTAGCAATCATGCTTTTGCTAGTCTAGACATGCCTGTAACATGGATACATCATGACTGCCTAGGTGATATCTGGAAATGTGAGGGCTATTTGGCTGGAATCTGCATAAAAAATGGAGCCAAATATCTGGACCTAGAGGCTGAAGTTCAGCAACTGCACTCTAATGTCACAAATCCGCAGCATCTATTCAAGATGCAACTTCTAAGCAGAGGTGGTATTCAGCGGTTCGGCCCATTTCTGACATACATTTATAAAACTAATGAAAGCGAAAAGAGAAATCTGATATCAGAGCACTAATTTTGGCAGTAGCCAGCATTTTTCACGATGTTTCCTTTTTCTCCTCCTTCTCTTCTCATCTCCTCCTTCTCTCACTATGGAGTTTTAGTCTACCTTTATACTATTTAATCTTTATTCTTATTAAACATTCTACTTTGCTTCTCAAATTCATTTATCCTTCTCCAGGTGTCTTAAAAATTTTAACATCATATAAAAGTAATGCTAATCAATAAAGCAGAACTTTATTGTAAAGCATAATTTAAAACAGTTTCTGAATCAGAATCTTATTTGCAATAACATTTAATTAATTTATTTTATTTTATTTTTTATTTATTTGATTTGTCAGTTGCTTACAAGATAATAAGTATAAGTATAAACATGAATACAGGAAATAGCTATGAATAAATGGGGACAACAGGACAGGGACGGTAGGCACAATTGTGCACTTATGCACGCCCCTTACAGACCTCTTAGGAATGGGGTAAGGTTAATAGTGGATAGTTTGAGGTTAAAGGAGTGGGGGTTAGAGGGTGTAACAACAGAGTCAGGTAGTGCATTCCAGGCATTGACCATTCTGTTGCTGAAGTTGTACTTTCTGCAATCAAGTTTGGAGCAGTTTACATTGAGTTTGTATCTGTTATGTTATGTTACACTAAATTTCAGTCTGAAGGGGTATGTATGTGAAGCATGGGGTCCAGTTTTTTTTTTTAATGGAAAAAAATCAGTAACTCCTTGAATATAAAAAAATATCCAGAGAAAATAACTTGCTGAATCTTATGATATAATCATAAGGACAAGTGGCTGCCTGCAAAACCCTCTGATTCCATTCTAAGAGTTTTCTCCTAATTAAATTTAAAATATGACTTCTGGATTGCAGACAAAAGAATGTGCTTAATGCTATGCAGTCCTTAGTGCCAAAGAAATGTTTCTGACCACTGTTAATTAGCATAAAGACATTATTATTGGTATATCTATTTTACTTTCTTCACTAAGTCCTAAGTGCCTGATTGGATCAGGGATTCTGAAATTAGTAGCTTTGATTTTTGAGAGGTGTGTGAGCCTTGGGATAAATTAATTTGCTTCCTCTTGAAGCAAATCACCAAGTTTGCTTCTTCAGCCTTTCTTCAGTCTCACTGAGAGAAGTTCTTCTGAATCTCATCTTGACTGATCTAAATGTCTTTGATGAATTCACCCATCCTTGATAGTGCTTCTTTTGAATCATTGCAGACTCCCACAGATGACATAGAGGTGATAAACACTGAGAGAATTGAAGCATCTCCAGAAGTCCCAGTGAAAGATGAAAGAAGGAGCCAGGAAGTTGCAGAAACCAAGTCCAAAGGAGAAGAGAGACCTACCAAAACAAATTTGAGAAAATTCTTTAAACTGGTAAGACTGATGTTCCCAATTTTGTATGTCAGCTGTATTACAATCATTGAGCAGTCAGACAGTTTAAAGTTTAATTAATAGTAAATATGATGGGACAGCTAATTAAAACATTTTTGTAACAGCCCTATGTTGAGTTGAGTTCATCAGGATGGATGGGTGGATGGATGATCATTTTTACCAGACCAACAGTGAACCCATATTTGGGCCTCCATTCCACAAAATATGTGGCTAGTAAGGAATATAAAAGGAATGTTAAAAGTTGCCCATAAGTCCACCTCACATTATATTTATATAGTTCATCTATAACATTTTATGATAGGCAGGATTTTAATGACTCTCCAGCAGCTAAAGTAAAGGGCTTTTTCCTATTGAATTCCAACTCTCTTGAGTTCCACCTTCATACTACGAAAGGGTTCAGAGTAGAAAGTGGGAATCAACAGCTCCTCTACTAGCAATGGCTATTATCTAAATATACCACAGCTACTTGAGTAGAAGTCCATCAAGCATCAGACCAAGCAACCATTTATTCAAAAGGAGGAAAGAACACCTCAAATGTAAACCTTTGAGAATATATAAAAGTCCCGGGGATTTTTTTTCACTACATGGATAACCATTTACCACATGAATTCTTTCATATACAGTAAAGATTCTAATCTAACCATGTCACCCCTGAGACTTTCCTACCGTTCAAGTTGAGAAGTCAACTAAGAGTGAAGAGTCTCTAGTTCTGTGATCTACTAACAAGTCCTAGTCTAAACCCTGACACACTGAAACAAATCATTTCTGGAGGAGCAATTGATAGATTGTATAAAAAAGGCATTAAAAGGTATGACAAATGATGTGGTAGACCATATATTTATTCTAAATGGATATTGAGGGGACACTCCCAAGTTTGGCTAGAGGTTCCTTAGAGGACATTCCTATGAGAAAAGAAATCACATGCTTTTTTATTTGCCATTGTGTTCCTAAGTCCTGAAACAGGAAGACTCAGCTAAACCCTTGTGTACAATCATTTATAATCATAGTAGGAAGAAATTCATGACACCCTTTGTTATTTTAGTCAGTCAGGAGTGACACGGGGGTAACTCCTCCTGAAATAAATGGGCCAGCATCTGATCACCAAGTAAGTGGATGGATCATTTAGTTTTTCTTCGGTGATGGTTCAACTGAACTCTTCTCGGGTTTAATGAGAACATACATGATTCTTTTATATATTTGATACACAACTTTATGTATTTCCTCCTGTCTTTGTTTCCCGATACTTTTGGCACTGAAAGTGGCACTGTTGGTTTAAATTCTTTTATAAACCATTCAACTCAGTTCAAAACTGAAGCTAAAATGAAGAAAAATGGCGTTGTTATAATATAGTTCTCAAAGGCTGGATCAACTGGTCAGAATATTTTTGTGTAATACAAAAGTTTAACAGTTTAGGACAGTGTTTTTCTGGTGAAACTGGTCTATCAGGGCAACCTGGTCTACCCAAGCATACAGCAGATGGAGCATACTGCTTCCACTTTCGCCTTTCAGCCCCAATCCAGGAGCCTTTGCAGGCAGTTGCTTTCATGACAAACATTTTTTTTGTATTTAATTTATATTTCACCGACAAAAAAATAAAGGGAGACTAGCATAGATCTATTTCAAGCCAGTCTGGATAGCTGATAAGAGCTAAATAGCTTGAAATAGATGTATACCAATCTCCCTTTATTTCTTTGTCAGTGAAATATAAATTCAACAGTTTAGGGTGGTGTTTCACAATCTTGGCAACTTTGTGTGGATTTCAATTACCAGAATTCCCCAGCCAACATGCATAATGCTGGTTGAGCAATAGCCTTGTCATTATTATGGAAAAGATGAAGCATTTCCATCCTCCTCTACCTCATATTCCTCAGAAGTGTTGGGTTGTGACTCCTAGTATTTTCAGCCCAGTTAAGGAAGGTTAAATTAAGCCTGGTTGTTCAGGCTAGAGAACATGTTTCAGCCTTATAAAATTTAAGAATATTCATTGATATGCCTATGAACTATTTATATAAACTTCAGAGACCACTTTGGTGAAACAGCTGACTGTCAGTAGAATATGTGGTTGCAGCATTTAAAGACACAGACATGGGAAAACTGGCTTTTCAGATAAAACATACAATAGGATAATTTTAGGCCAATTTCTTTCAGATTGATTTAATACTTCTTTTACCTTCAGAAACTGCAACTGTTTTGAAAGTAAAGACTACAGACCAGAGCATGGAACCTAAGTTAATTAAATGTAGAATCTTTAAAAACAACGCTGTCATTTGATGCCTTTGCATCATTTTTGTTTTGCAGTCTTTAGCACATGTTTGGTTACTACTTTACTTTCACTCAATGAGCCAGTTTAAAAGAATGTGTTGTTTTGTGTGTTTAGTTAGTTCCTTATTCCAGACTTCCAACTACAAAAGGCGATGGATGAATATTAAATTATTTGTACTTTGTAATTTGAAACTGCAGCCATATCAACAGTGCCATTTTGTACATTACTCTTTATCTGTACTGTATCCTGCTCTTTTTTCCTTCCTTTGTCTGAAACACACTCTCTTGTACTTGTGATGTCTTTGCAAAAACAATAAAGTAAATGAAACATCATTTTTTCTCAATTTGTGGTTCCATGCAGAATTTTACAGGCTTATTTGACTAAAATTAGGAAAGTTCCATCTAACTCCCTATACAATTTAGGTATAATGTTTCTAGCTTTACCTCTTAAGTTCTCCCAGAGGGGCAGTTCTTAGCTCTTCCAATCAAAAATTTTTATTTATTTATTTATTTATCAAATTTAGGTACCACTCTCAGAGTGACTCTGTGCAGTGTGTAAACAGTAATTTTTTCCCTGCCTGAATATTGTGAATCCCTTCCCCCAACAAAGAAAATAATAAATTCTGGGGTGGGAAAATACAGGAATATATATTTCTTCTTACATAATAATAATAATTATAAAATCAAGGCAGGATTATTTTGACTTTTTTCTTTTTCACATTTCTTTCCATCTTTGGACTGTGTGGTCTCTTTTCCAGATCCCACCTAAATGGCTAACTCTTCCTTCCTTCCTTCTGTGTCTCTTTCCAAAGATCAGCTCTGAATTCCTTTATGTCTAATGATCTTGATGGATTATATTCTATCAAACCTTGTGTTGAGTTTTGAAATCACAGAGACAAATACCAACCCTACCATATTAGAGATAATATGCTTTGATTACTCTGGATACCTTCCTTGCCACCTTGCTTTATTGGTTGGAGCATGTGTATGTTAAAATCCTATCATCTGGAGGCCATGAAATTGCCTGCCTACCCTTGTTGTAAAGGGTGATACAAGTTGGCAGGGAGGAATGCTGACATTGCATATGCCAGTGCCAGGAGTGTCATCTGCTCCTAGCTCTTTGCAAAACAAATGTCCACTTTTTCATCCTTAAATATATATAAATCTAGAAATAGGGAAAGGGAGAGATATTATAGAAACCCTGTGATGACATTTTATTCACATAAACACAGGATGAAGAAAATCAGATTATGTGGCAGATTATGCTTGCTGTACAGTTTTTGCCCTGTGCCATGGATCTCATCAGGGTATGGTTTAAAAAAAATGTCAAGAAACTTATTCTGATAGCATAGTTGTTTTTTATGATATGAAAAATCGTATAAATATTTGGAGCTGCTGCCAAAATCACCACTACCTTTAGGAAAGGAGGAAAGAAGAAAAGGAGGGAGGGAGCAAGCGAGCGAGCGAGCAAGGGACGGAGGACCAAAATAATATAAATAGGTATTTGGTTTCTGATTTCTCCATTCTTTATGTTCCAACTGATTTATAGTTTTTATTAATATATACTTGCTTAAATTGTCTGATACCTTGACTTTTTTTAATGTACTGTATGGACAACCATGAATCAACCCTACAACTGGCATTTAGTCCTGCATGTTGGGTGTAAGATTGCATCCAAAGGTCTCCTGAGCAAACAAATCATTCCCCATTTGGCTTTTCATTTTGCAAAGCAAGCTGCCCCCCCCCCACTTTTTTTTTTCTTTTAAACTCACCGACCAAGTAACCCTGTTTGAAACTGCTCTAGACCCTGGACTTCACGGACAGACCTTTGACCCAGGCTGAGAATCGAGACTCTGCAAGCAAAGGGAGCCGCAAGAATTCAACAGACAACCTGAACAAGTCACAAGAGATCCCCCAGAAAACCAAGGATCCACAAGAGTCAAGACAAGAAGAAGCAGCTGAGATAGACTCCCTTCAGAATGGAGAGGATGCAGCACAACAAAGTCCTCTCAAGCGAATGGAGAAGCGACAAACCTTTGGAGGGTTTTTCAAAGGCCTTGTAGGTTATCTTCATCTTCCCTTAGCAATCCCTGCTTAGGCAGCACTTCTGGAAGAAAACTTTCTTGGGGAGAGAATAGCTCCTGCACCTTCATTCTTTTCCCAAGCATGAACGGGAGACTAATAATCTGAAGGGAAGGAGCACCAGGCTGGAGGGAGATCTGGCCCTTCCAAGATTACCAAAAGCAGAGCTATAAGAGCAAATTCTTTATTCTGGATTGCTTTGGCATTCAGATGAAGTGGAATCCTTGGCCAGCCTGGTGCCCTCTAGTTCTATTGGGACCAGCTCCCAAAATTCCCTACTAGCATATCTGAAAACTGACAGGGATTCTGGGAGTTGAGGTCTAAGTACATCTAGAAAATGCTAGATTGTGAAATAGTTATTCTGCAATTGAAAAATGGATCGATGTGGATTTTTATTCAGTAAGTGATTTTCCATCTGGGCTATGGTTAAGCTATCAGATAAATCAACTTAATTGCCTAATTTTTCTTTTTTAGGCCCAGAAATCTCTTTCCAAAGTCATGCCTTGAATTAAAGAACTATATATCTTTCTTCACAGAGCACATTGGGGTTTAAATTGAAGGCTAAGTTTAGTGCTTTGTATTGAATTAATATATTATTCATCATCATTTCTTTCCTCATTGGATATCTTTGCATTTGAATCTAAATAGCAGGGGAATGTTTTTTAACTTTAACTTTTGTAGGATTCTTATGGTCAGCTACAAAATAGAGAATCTGATAATCAAGATGGACAATACTATAGTGTGGAAATAGACTATCATGATCAACTTCCAGAGTGGTTTTATTTATATATCCCTATGTATGAGGTAACTCCCAAAAAACAGATTGTTAGTAATCAGTTAAATGTGTTGTGTTGTACACATCGACTGAGTCCATTTCTATCACCAGAAGATTTTTTTTTTAATTCCTGGAATTTCTGCTGCAGCAAACAACATTCCTTGAATTGTGACTCAACTGTATATTGTAGAATTTGGGTTCAACACTTTCATCCTATTTTTATCTGCTCCTCTTTTCTTACATATGTCTTTCAGACTGAGTCCTCGAGCCAAGCTCTGTGCATTTATATATTTATTTCAAATAGCAGGCCCAAGAGGACATTAAAAGGAGAATTACACTAAAATCATTCTCAATGAATTTTGTCCAATTTCCTGACAGATGGGAAACTTGCAAATAACATGTAAAGCATCCCAGAACCCTTTGGAAGCTATTAGTAATCCATGTTTTATTTCATTTTTCCTTACAAAAGTTAAGTGAAAATTTATTATTATTTTTAAGTAAGATCAAAATAGTAATGAGTTAGAACCACAGAAGCTCCTCCAAGCCAACCTCTTCCTGTATCTCTGCATACGCAAAGCTATATAGCACATAGGAAAGAGAGAAAAAATAAGGCAGGATAAATTTGTTTTGATGAGTAATGTAATATGATTGAGCAAAGATTCTGAGTTGCTTCCATAATCAAGAAATGTATTACATGTTAGTGTTTTAAATATGATAGAAGAAATTATATACACAAATGCAGAAACAGTGCAGGAAATGTAATTAGTGACAGAATATTCTCTTTTAAAAAGTTCCCAATCCTTATGCATGCTTAATTAAAGCCAACCCTTAAAAATCCAAAGATTTAAAATATTTGGGGGGGGGGGGGGGGGGTTTTGTTGTGATGCACGTTAAAAAAAAACTGCTGGATCTTTGATTGTATTATAATGGCTGCCATCTTGATTTGTTCTGTCTATCACAGAAACCTCAAAAAGGTTCACTGGTCTGAGTGACAAGCTTCATAAATTTTGTTTCTTCTCACTCAGAACAAAATAAATTACAGTAAAATATAATGCAAATGTGTGAATCATGACGGCAATATAGATATGTCATAGGTTGCATCTTTTCCTCACATGGAATTGGCCTCATATTGGCAGTAAGTTTGTTTGTACAGTAAAATGTGCACACAATTCTAGATGCAGACTCCTCCATCATATGGATTAAGAAAACAGCCCACTAAAGAGAGAAATAAATAAAAAACATAATTTCTTGAGCATCTTCAGCAATGTTTACACTTTTCTCTCCCTTTTCTCCAGAGTCCCAAACGGATGTCAGATGCTGGGGTACAAACAGATCCGGTGTCTATTGTGTCTATCGTGAAACCTAAATAATTAACAACTGGAAGTCTCTGAAGAATCACTGAATCACCTTTACTTTTCTTCCTTTCAGGACAAAAAGAAAAAAAGAAATGATTGGTATTGTTTATTTCCCCCATCCCTCCTTCCCTTCTTTTCATGGCAGACTAAGCAAACTAATTTGCTGATATACAAATCCAAGGTTATTCCAAGTAAGATGTTTTGTGGACTGTCTGTTTCCACTATCATTCACCCACATTTTCTCCCGCTGCCTTGCCCACTCTCACTGTAGTTCAGTCTGTTGAATCACCACGTATATCTTCTCTCCTGCTGCCATGATGCCTTCTATGGGATGACCATAAGGTAGATTTATCTACTCCATTGGTCATTGGCTCCATTGGTGTTCTCATTGGTCATGCACTCAAAAAGCCTGCCATCTGATTGGTTTAGCTGCCTGGCATTCCTTTTTCTAACACATAGCAATAAAATGGACTGTTAGGAGCTGCAGCTAAGATCCAAATTAAACACTATCAAACTTTCTTGTTGCCCTGAATGCACCCACTGGGCTAATATATGCTTTGAGAGACTACCTATTGCAGAACATATTCTCTTAAAAGTTTAAAAATAATAATAAAAAAAGCTTACAGAGGCACTAAGATTTAAAGGGAATTCAGCATCCAGGATATCTGATATAGATTCATCAAAACCCAAAAGCAGATAGACATTACCAGTATAAGGGAATGGATTAAGATTTGTTTCCTTCTTTTTTCTGACCCCCCCCCCCCCCAAAAAAAAACCCAAATTAAAAAAAGAACTGGAGAAAGCCTGCCTACAAATTTATATGCATTACGCATTTCTAATATATGTGCATTTGTGTACTAAGTTCATAATGGGCTCCATTTAGACACTGATATTTCCTAGACTTTGCTGCATTTTATGCAATTATCTAGGCATCTTTTTAAGCTACAAATCATGTCACAGAACTGTGCAAAGTGTGTGGTGTGATGTAAAAGAAACATCTTTAAATCCACAAAAAATGCATACAGTACGTTTGTATTTTTAAAATTGAAGAAAACGTATTTCCCCTCCATGTGTAACCCAAACTCCATGAAATCTAATTTCTATCCCAATTTTCTTCAAATGTCCTTATTTTAAGAGAGGATCATCTCAAGACATCTGATCGCAGGTCCATTGAGCACTTCAGAGCCAGATAACAGATAAACAGAGCCCTGTTAGATGAGAACAGCAGACAAAGTCTGACTGAACTTTTTGAAAGTAACACAATTTTATTAAAATACGTAAACTTTCAGGAGTGCAAATGTAGCTTGTGAAAGCTTATATCTTTCCACAAAACTGGTTATTCAGAAAAGATGCTATTAGAAACCTCTGGATTGGGGTTTTTTGTTTTTGTTTTTTTGTTACCAGAGACTAGCCCAGCTCTCTTTCTATAATTAGAGTAGCATATAAGCCCCAGTAAATAAATAAATGTAGTTTCATGATCTCAGGTTATCAAAAATTATTTGCAATTACTCTTGGCTGCAACTGAGTCAATCATTTCAGAACTGATTTGGAGTATGAATGAATTCTGACAATGTCCTCTTACTCAAATTAGAATATCAATCTTGGATCATTTGTCTTAGTTTGCCCAGTTATGCAAAGGACACCATTTGTATTAATATGTTTGCAATTCGTTTCTTTTGCAGTAATTTACAAAACATAAATTCAGTTTCCCTGCTCTGTGAGAACATGGATAATCTGGGGTTAATTTTAATCTTAGATAGGAATATTGTTGGTTATTGTAAAACAGTGGTGCTAATGCGGAGATAAATATTCTTATGAGCCTCTCTCAAAGTGTAGAAAGTGCGAATGTACTTTCTCAGCGATAGCTTTGGAGAAACTATATACAAAGATGGCTACAACATGTCAACATACATGTTTTAAACCCCAAAAAAGTGGAATATAGTAGAAAGAATCTTAGTTTGGCTTCTTAATTCACTAAAGTCTAACAAAGAGAGAGGAGAAAACTCAGTCAGGCATTCAAAATTCTCTGGCTTTGCCCTAGGTCAGTAAATAAAGTTTCAATAAAACTTGTGGAGTTGGCTTCCTCTTCTAACCTGTCTTCAAAGAGCTGACAGTAAACCAACTTCAATCAAACCATGTTAAAGGGAATTAACTGGGTAACATGTACCAGCATTAAAACCTAAAGATACTTAAAGAGAACAAAATGAGATGTTAATTGGCAAGCTAAGAATAGCTTTCATGGATGAGTTAATACAGACAAAAGAGTGTTGTTTACATTGGTCTGACAGCAGCATGGATCACACCACAGACTTAAGGCAAATGATGGCTTGAAAGCATATTTCAAGCCACACTTTCATATCTCCTTTTCTAGGCCACCCTTATTGGTAGTTTTATCAGATAACAATCCACACTCAGGATAGTCGATAATGAGACGAGCCATTGTTCAGTGTTATGTGGTGTTTGCAAATGCAAGTATGGAGAGCAATTGATCAGAGTATGAAAGCTTTCTAAGGCTGCAGTTATAAAGATAATATAATGTAAGATTCAGTGGACAGTGGGGGTTTATATATGAGTAGGCTTGTTTAGGGTTGCAGTAGACAATAAGAAAAGGATGAGATTAAAATGCTTATGGTTAGATGTACATTATAGGTAGTCCTCAACTTTCAACTACAACTGAGACCTACATTTCCATTGTTAAGTGAGACATTTGTTAAGTGAGTTTTGCCCCATTTTACAACCTTTCTTGCCATCGTTGTTAAGTGAATCACTGTAGTAGATAAGTTACTAAACTGGTTGTTAAGCGAATCTGGCTTCCCCATTGACTTTGCTTGTCAGAAGGTTGCAAAAGGTGACCACATGACCTTGGGACAACGGTTATAAGTATGAACCAGTTGTCAGGCATCTGAATTTTGATCGTGTGACCGTGAGGATGCTGCAAAGGCCGTAACTGTGAAAAACTGTCATACAGTAAGTCCAGTGGTGGTATGCTACCGGTTAGGCCCGGTTCAGCTGATCCAGTAACAAAAATTCCTACTGGTTCAGCTGAACCGGTAGTAAAAAAAAGCCTCTGATGATCAACTGGGAAGAGAAAAAAGCCGCCACCGATCAGCTGAGAAGAGAAAAAAAGCCGCCAATGATCAGCTGAGAGGATAAAGAAGAGAAAAGCACAGGATCAGTCCTCCCAACCACCCCTGAGCTTTTCTCTTCTTTATCCTCTCAGCTGATCGACGCTAGTCAGGCCTCAGCTGGTGTGGGGAAAGCTGGGTGCACACGCGCGATCACCAAACTGGTAGTAGAACAGGTAGGATCCCACTGCTGAGTGACATATTTTTTCAATGCCATTGTAACTTTGAACAGTCACTAAATGAACTGTTGTAAGTCTAGGACTACCTGTATAGAATCAGGGGGAATCCTCTTTAAATGGTACCATTTTCCAGAGAAAAGGATAAAACAAAAAAAACCCAAAACCTCCATTGCAAGTTGTAAACTAAACTATTTTCAAAACACACCAACGTACAACAGTGGGTTAAAACCAATGGCCCACTGTTGATCCTGAATACCAGGGCTGCATTCATTATTTTTTAAAGGCATTTTTGAAATTGGCTTTCAAGTGATTTCAGGTAGTTCTCAAGTTACAACTACAACTGAGACAGAATTCCCATCATTAAGTGATCTGCTTGTTAAGTGAGTTTCATGCCCGATTTTATGAACTTTTCTGCCATAGTTGTTAAGCCAATCTGGCTTTCCCCATTTGATTTTGCCGGAAGGTTGCAAATGGTGATCATGTGACACTGAGACACTGCAGCCATTGTGATTATATACCAGTTGCTAAGTGTCTGGATTTTGATCATGTGACTGCATTGTCACATGATGGTCATAAGTGCAAGAACTGCTTAAAAGTCGCTTTTTTCAGCATCATTGTAACTGCAAATGGTTGTCAAACAATGGTTGTGAGTCTACCTGTAATTCCATTGAAAAAGCTGAACTTTACAGAATTTCTCACTAATTCTCATCTATTTCTATCTTCGTGTAATGAAATGCAAGAAGTTTGCTTCTCAAAAGTACGTAATTAAAGTATTAACCAGAATCCAACACAAGAGGGCAATATGGAGGCCCTTTTATTACTAACCTAAAGGACATATTTACTTCTGTGTTATTAATATAATTTGTGTATTGTTATTCAGGGGAAGATGAGATTGTTAGGTTTACAATGACATGATTTTTAAAAAAAAATAGATTAAAAGAACAAATGCAAATTATAACTGATTTACAAACATTCTGTGGTAGGAACTTTTTATAGCACATCTGTGCTACACATACAAATACATTCTATTCATTATTGTAAAAGTAAGGAACAGTAAGACTAATGTTATAATTTAAACTAGCACCTGAATTTTAAATACTTGTATATTTTGATTTCCTTCTGATTCAATAAACATTATTTAAGAAAACCTATTTGCTCTTAATTGCTTAATTAAAGATTTTAATTAATTCTCTATGACTGGTGATCCCAATTTTGCAAAACTTGGGTACTATATATTGGCACTTTTTTACTGTTTTCTGAAATGTATTTAAGATCTATCTAAGACCACACATGATGTTTGACACCCAAGGACTCTTTGACATTCACTGGATTTTTGATGACAAAATGACAAACATGAACACAGAAAAGTGAAACCTACATTTCTCCAGCCAAATGATCGGTGTATGTGTATGTGTGTGTGCGCGCACATGCATCTTTCTTTTTCTCCCTCTTGGGTGGCCACCCGACTGGGGGAGATTGCTGTAAATCCATTTCATGAATACATAGCACATATTAGGTTTAAATTAGTACAGTAAATCATATTTTATATATTTGAACATCATTGGAAATTGAATATTCAGCAATATACTGAAGCTCATGTTACGACTATCAATTTTGACTAGTTCAGATTTCTGAACCTTGCATTAAAGAGAAGGGAAGTTTTTGGTTGCCAACATTCAGAGGAAAAGGTAAAAGCTCCCCTTGGATATACATGCTAGACATTTCTGGCTCTAGGGGGCAGTGCTCATCTCCGTTACAAAGCCAAAGACCCAGCGCTGTCCAAAGACGTCTCTGTGGTCATGTGGCCAACATGACTAAACGCCGAAGGCACCTGGAACGCTGAAGATATACTATTTTATTGTACCCTAGCTCTCCGGCATACAGGTTTATGTAGTTTTTGAAACTATTCTAGATTGCTTCAGTTTATGTCTTAGTAAGCTGCTTCAGTCTACATTGTGGCTGGGTCATTTCTAGGGACTTCTACAATCAAATCCTTTGAGTATATGGGCACATTTGTGTGCTTGAATATATAATTAGGAAAGAAAAAGAAAAGCAGGTTAAGTGAAGGCCTGACTTGGAAATCTCTCTCTTCACACTTTTCACTAAAATGAGAAGTGCTTGTTTTACCTTATCATGTAGCATGAACCTAACTCCTCTGGTTTTTAAATCATGGCTTAGAAGTACATGACCTTGGCTATCCCTAACACACCCCTCCACACCCACTTTTTTTTTAGAAAATGCACTGCATATAGTTTATTTTCTCATCTATACATTTGCAAAGAAAACATTTAAACAGAGGATTTGGGAAAACTACAACTCCTCCCTTTCCATGGTATCTCCTTTAGTGACTACTTGCTCTTTACAGACTACTCAATTTCAGTGCAAAAACAGGAAATCCTGCACCATCTCTTTGGAAGGTGTGTTTTCCCCCTGTAATGAGTGCTTGAA